ATATAAAAAATATATTAAATATTAAATTATATATTATGTTAACTGAAGCTGACTTTTTGGACGATAAAAATAATTTTGAAATTATTAATAATTTAAGAAAATATATAAATACATGAATATTATTATACTTTATATGAATTTTTTTTATTGTTCCAAAGGAACTCGTTTATGTAGAAAAGATTTGCCGATTCAATAATTAAGCAATTAATATTCTCAATTTTAAAATTATGTAAAATCAGCTGAGCTTGCATAGTCATATATATATATAAATATATACATATATATTCAAATTTCTTATAATCAAATATTAAGGCAAACTTCTTTTATAATTTATGCAATTATTGCTGAAATCTGTAGCGTTCTATGCGGATGCCTCTAGTCGCATCTAGCTGTAGTTAAACACTCTATAATTGATAAATGACTTAATAACGTGAAAGAGGGTATGATGAGCTAGAGGAAATCCCAAATGCAAATATTTATTTAAGATTTAGGCAGCCTAATTTTTTTTCATTTGACAAAAGTTGAGTGAAATGAAGTAAAATAGATACGCTTGCTGCGATAATTTAAGAAAATTTAGTACATTTTTTCCAGTTAAGAATATATTTTCTGGCATAGGGTATATTGGCATCGGTGTCATTGTTTTTGCCATGATTATTATTATTTTTTTTTTGTAATTAATCACGAGGGAAAACAACAAAATCAAGTACAGACCCAAACTGGTTCGAGTAGTAGGCGGTACGACCAGGGCCTGAGCCTGAGCAGCAGTATAAAGCCCAATTGATGCCAGTCGCTGTTAACGAAGGCAACGGAGCGGACGTTCAACTGAAGCACACTAGGAAAATGGGTACGTAGATCGATAGTTCGAGACTAACACTCACTAACTCTCTCCCTCTCTCTCCATCTCTCTCTTTCTTTTTTTTACTGCAGCTAAAGCTGGTTTTATGCTCTTGCTGCTGGCTGTATTGGGCGCCTGTCTGGCTGTGACACTGGCAGCCGGCGGTAAGTCATGGCCATAATGAACAGGCAACAGTAACTAATTGAACTGAATTGAACTCTCTTCACAGACTGCCCCTCGTACACCAAGGTGTCCAACTGCACGCCAAAGTGCCTGCACGACAGCGAGTGCAGCGCCATTGGCGGCAAATGTTGTCCAAATCTGTGCAACGGAAGCAGCTGCGCCTCGCCCAATCTGCTGGGCAACTCGGGTGCCGACAAGTCGCCCTTTGGCAGCAAGAACTGTGAGTGGAACGCGTCGCGCTAGCTAAGTTGACAGCTGTAACTGCTCCTCTCACACACACTCTCTCTCTCTCTCTCTTTCCTACTTGCAGCTGGCGCCACGGGCAGCTACTGTGGCAATGTCAAGTGCGGCAGCTTCGAGAAATGCGAAACAGATCGCAGCACAAAGCGGCCCAAGTGCGTGCGCAGCTAGAGAGGCAGCCACACCAGCTGCACTGATATCTGATTATCATTACTCTGCTTATCTTTAGTATATGGACTCCAAATATAATTTTGGTTTCAATTGACGTATATTCGAAGGTGTTTCTTATATATTTGTTTGATTTGCTTGGTTTCACTCACGGGTGCGGCTAGGACAGCGCTGACCAGCAGGCTGGCAATAAACACGTATTTAAACATTTTCGTTTGGTTTGCTTTTCTTTTCGTTGCTGAAGGTAGATTTAGTCGCGAGCTCTTCACGCTGCAAGTTGACTTTGTACTATGGCTTGTTGGCAGCCAGCTTGAGTTGCTTTTATAATACACTTGAACACGCACACACACACGCACACTTGCACATGGCAGCGACGCCGGCGCAGCAAGCTCTTCATTTTGGGCACTCGGATCTGGCTTTTTGGTTATGGGACAAGTTGTTTAAGTTTTTGTTGCCGCCGCTGTCGCTGCTGCTGCTGCTGCTGCTGCTGCTGTCGCTTATGCATTTGAGTTGCGATCTTGGGGCTTTCTGTATTTCAAATTTTGTGCATTTTGCAATCGCCCACAGTGGCTGCAATTTGTCGAAGTACAGAGATGAGCCCTAGCCGCAGCAGTTGCCACTCTCAGAAGATTGAAGAAGATTGCATTGCATAAGCCCTGCTCAAGGTCAGTTGGTCAATTGTGAACCAACA